TAATGTTTAAAAAATTTCCTGTATTTATGATAGGAATACATTTATGCGACTCGATGGAGATCGACGCATTATTAATGGAGCCTTATTTGGAGAAACTTATTGAGCACAGTAACATTAGGTATGTGCGACTCTAAGTATCTTTTTTTCATTTATCATTCTCACGCGAATTGACTAAATCCAAAACTGTGTTCTATTTACCTTTAAAAAAATCTGATTTATTAACGGATGTCTTGTCACTTTTAATGAGACTTTTATATTTACCGTTATGGTCATTCTTATTCTGCTGTCTTGTAAAGCATCCAAATGTGAGAGCAAATTATCACATTATGCAGGTTAACTAGGACGGAATCAATCGCTAGGCTAACAGTTTTCACCCAACTATACAACGGTTTTTGGACTTTTCTAAGGTTTACTATGTTTGCTCACAACCAACGGAACTAGACGTGCAACAATGAAAATCTCAATTCCATCTTAGAATTTAAAAATTTCCAAATATTGCCGTAAATAATATCCGTCAGGAAATGGCTATGACGGTAGACAACCTACTACTTTTCTGACAGAACTTCGTTCAAGTAATTATTTCGCGCCTATGTCGAACCTTTCGTTTATGAGAGATGATATCCGAAATTTAAAGTAAATTAAGGTTTTATTTTATAGCACAACAAAGTTCATTTTATGGGGTTCATATTATAACATTCACCTAGCTGTAGCAACTAAATATCTGTCCATTACTAACATGTCGAATACTACTCTTGTATCCTAGGTGTAAACTGTCCGTTAGTGTTGTTGTATACACAAATAACTAACAGAAGTCATGAAAACTTACTCCGGGAAAAAATCAAGAGCAGACATTAGCAGTCTCCAATGCATGAAATCTTAGCCTTTAAAACTTAGACGGAATATAATTAAGTTTAAAACCGATAATGTGGCTATTGATCGTACCATGAACTCCTAAGATCTATTTATAAAAGACTGCGATAATAAGGATTTTCGAGCCGACTGGTCATATTACCTGAAACAAGAATGACTAATAGGTCAAGGCTTTAAAAACGACTAAGTAGAAAGTTTTTTTATTTACAATCGGTGTTGAATAACCATTCAAACTATAGGCAAAGTGTGAGAAATTTGACCAAGACGTTACGATCCAGGTTGCGTCCTAAAATTAAAAACAGCGGAAACTTTCGGCGAAACTTTTAAACCAAAAAGGCTAACAATAGCTGCGAATCACGGACCTATCAAACAAGAGAGCCAACAAGTTTGGCGAAAGCCTTATAAATTAAAATTTGCCGAATTACTGCATATACTTGGTAGTTTTGCCATAAAGTTAATGAAAAAACGCAATCTAAAAACCAACAAACATGTCTCTGACATGATAACATATTGTCCAAGTGTCATTTAGATTTTGATCCAAGGTCAGTTTTAGAGGACCATCAGGAACGAATAATTGCGTGGCCTTTTACAACTGCAATCTGAGACCAGCTGCTCTACAGCTGTGTCCTCATTGCAAGCTGGTTACCAATGACTGCTTTCCAGGTTTGCAGGATTGGTGTTTAGTTGGTTATGGGCATGTGTAGAAGGGGCATAGGCCTTAGTTGCATTGGATCGCATAATGAAAGTCATTTAAGGAAAGCCTAGTCCCAAAAAGTGCCTTTAGTTAAACAACCAGATATATCTTGGAGGTAACCACAGCATATATAATTGTTCCGCTTGGCTTTGACGTTCAGTCATGCACTTCAACACGTTTTTGCAATTCTCGGTACATGAAAGGGGGCGCTTGGAAATAACCGAAGTAGTTGAGTATTTAATCAGCAAACATAGGTGTATCACTGTAACGCCAAATGCAATGAATAAACGTCAGACAGAGCACGAATCTGTTCAATATAAGGCTCAGAAGCAATCTTTTGGGTGCGCATGATTTTTGAAAAAGCTAACACCATACCGACGACGACTTTGTGGAGAGTCATATTAAGAAGGTTAAGCATACCTATAAAGACCAGACGCACACCGATTGGCCCGAGCTTTTCGGCATTCATCGGGGCGATAGGGAATATGTTGTACAACTCATTAACGCATTGAATAGAACTTGGAGTCTCGTCGTCGACGAAGTGAATCAAGCCCTATTTTGCAAACAGAATAAATCAAAATGGAAAGTGAAAGCGAATGTTTTTTTTGTAAAATGTAGCCTTTGGTAAATCGAATAATGGACTTAATTGACCTTAATTACCACGAAGACACAATGGAAGATGGCAAATACTATTATTCAAAACAAACTGACACATCATCCAACAAAGAAAGGTGATAGATTATGTATGTCTTGCGGTTGTAGAAGGAAAAAAGGAGTCAGTTATACTCGAGTGATAAATTTACAGAGTGATTATAGTAAACGCCTGAACGAGATTACGAAACCACATTACTTTAATATACCGGAAATTGGCTGCCTATGATGCGTCATACGTATTCAGAGCCATTCCCTCTAGTATATTAAACAACAAGGCTTAGAAAGGAACGGTCGAGGAGTTTCGCACCCGTCGCTTATTCGGTTGCTGTGACAACGCGCATATGAAGAAAGTATGCCGTATAAACGACTTAGCCAACTACACAACCTGATTTCAAGTTGTAACGATGCAATTTTACCAAGAATAATAAACTAATTGGTATAAAGTAACCAACCTTTGCCCGCATGATATCCATTGCCGCATTCGACTCGTTGCAAATATTTTTTTCCCACAGTAAATTTTCTATGAAATCTTCAAATTTCTTCCTGTCCGGCCGAATGCTTTCGTCAATGGTAACAGTGGATATAGTCTAGAAAGGGAGTTAACAGCCGTCCTATTTTTCTACACCTACATGGTCAAGGTGGGGTTTCTGGGAAATAAGGGAGCTTCTTAAGTCATCGACGACGGTACTGAAATTAAACTTGAAAAAATGTTTAATTTGATGCTTACTTTGAAGAATATAAGTTAAGGTCCAAGATTGCTGAAAGGTCAATCCTAAAAACAATGACGCTTAATCGACATGCTTATGGGATAAGAACTTCAGCGCAAGTTCCACCAAGATAAATAAGATTTTATGATAGGCGTCGAGTGTTCGACGGTGGCATCCAAAGACCACAACCAAGTGCCCAACATAAAGTAACAAAGTTGTCTCAAATTTCTCATTGATGCAGTACAAGCAATTATTTAAACCAAACATAAAATCGCATTTGGAAAATATAAGGTTTATCGGGTAAAGCTTGTTCTGGATTTCAAAAATATTAGACGTTGATGGGTTGAAAAACTTTGGTGCGCGAATGCATAAAGGTGGTTTTCGCCAATAAAATGATTAAAAACGTCAACTACATAATTATGAAACATTAAAGGGAAGAGTATCGAACGGATGCTTACTTTGCATGCGATGTTTGAAGAAGTCGTGCAGTTGCGTTTATATTTCTACAAAAAAGTGAATAAAATAAGAGCCGACAAAAAACACTAAACGAAAGCAAGGCGATTGTGAAAACCGATAAGAACTGCTTAACAAAATATTTTGCTTATTGCAGTAGCAGCAGTCACATTAAGTAACATATGCACAACATTTTTCAAAGTATGAAGAATAGGTAAAAAACAAGGCTAAATAAACCTACTTTATGTGATTAATAAGTAAATGAGATTCCTCTTCATCTACCAAATCAATTTTATTAAGAATGAGAACATCAGCGAGGGCAATTTGCCTAAGAAAAGAAGAGTTGCAATCACACAAACCTTTCACACGCATTGACGACCTCACAGCTGTCAAGCTCTGTTAAATTTTGGAGACAATACTTAGCATCCACTAATGTAATGATACCATCCAGGGCTAGTTGGCTGCATAAACTTTCATCCATCCAAAACAGTGAAGCAATGGGCCCTGGGTCCGCTAGCCCAGTGGTCTCCAACATTATATAATCAAACTTTCCACGCTTTTTCATCAAGTTCTCGATTGCCTTTACGCCGGGGTCTTTTAAAGAACAACACAAGCACCCATTTCTAAGTTCTAACCACTGTTCACATAATTCCAGAGAGTCCTCATCGAGTGAAGTTATGGACTCGGCCGCTGACCCCTCACCAAAGTCGTTAAGGATTACTGCAATTCTTTTCCCGTGCGATGCAGTTAATACATAGTTTATTAGGGTGGTCTTCCCAGCGCCTAGTAAGATTTTCGGTACAATGGAAAACCGTACCCAAAAAGCCAGTCACAATTGTTACTGGCACTTTACTGATGTTTTCGTTGTCATTAAGTGCAACAAGGGTAGGTATATCATCAGAAGACATGGTGGAATATAATAAAAAATAAGAAAAGGGAAGACCTCAGGCGTAAGATGGGACAACCAGTAAGCCTTAAATCTGCACACCAATACTACCTTATTAAAAGTACGCAGAACAATGTAAATTATATTCCTCACTAAAGGCGATCAGTAAAAGTTCTGATTTCTTCACAAATTTGTAAATTGAGTAAGTTAGACTAGACAACGAAATCGGTAATTTTTTTGTCGTCACAATCTGCAATTGTGATATAAATTCGTGATCCAATCTGAATTTTCAGAAGGAAACTGACATAACATATCCTAAATCTGAAACAGTAAAAAATTAGAATGAAAATCAGATGGATATACATAACGTCATTACTATCACGGTTGCTTAGTCATAAATCGAGACACGGTGCTTAGCGCAGGTTGAACTTCATCAACCCAGCGTTAATTAACCCTATTCATTCTTGAATTGGTTGGTTCAGGGTTGTAGTAACTGAATTAAAGCAGATGTGGCAATGACCTGTGCGAAATCACTTCTTTCTCTGGTTCGCTGCAGTTCTTGCTTGCAGGACATTTCAATGCACAAATACGGACGATTGGCAAAGATAGGCATATTCCAATAGGTCTTCGCTACTATGTGGAATGCACGAACCGGAGTATGATTAATATGGTACAACAGACAATGCTTTATTAACGAATTACAGGCCAGAACATCACGCCGGGCGCCACCCATCCGTATTCACCACACTTGCTGCGTTGCTCATTTATATACGGCTTCTCATTCACGTTTGCCTCTGGTTGGCTGCATAAGTTCCTCGTATTCAAATGGAACACTAAGAGACAGTGGATTGGCTGAGGCCAGCGTGTACCAATATGTCTGCGTTTATTTACGTCGCGAAAACAGTTGCTGCGAATTAAAGATGTCAGCGCCGAATCCTGCACTATCTTTTCAACACAACATGAGGCCCAATTTTAATGGTAGGTGAAGGTGAAGTTATCTGTTTTGGTATTTTAAGTATCCGTCAGCTACTTTTGACGTAGGAAATGCGTGATTTAGCGGAATATTCAGTTTGTCCATTGCCATCCTTCAATGCCGTTTATCGCATCTATGTTTGCCGACATGCCTTTTTGGGGCCTTTTCCACATATCTTCAGACTGATTAGATTGTCATATGACAGGCTATTGGCTAATTGGTATCCATTATATGTTTCACTCGAAACCAGAGCTTACTATTTTTATAAATGTAGCCTTAATCGTTGAACGTTAGCGTGATTAAGATGCTTGTGGCCAGATTAAGTAGTATTATAAAGAACCTTTTCATTCTTTTTGTTCTCATGTTGTCTTGCTATTGCTGTATATTTGTGCTTTACCTTCCACTCTTTGCATTCCAAACAAATTCTTTGATTTAGCTGCTGCTAGGGGCCAACCTGGTCAGAATGTTCCGCAAATGGCAGGTCGCCGGGTAGTTCCCACCGATCCCCGACTACATCAAATGGTTGGAAGAAATCAGCTCAAGTATGTTGGTAGATCTTAATTCATTTGACCACATTTCACCTTAGCTTCACGCATGGAAAAATCATCTATGCTTTTCTCGATAATATTTAAAAAAATTTGAGACATCGCGACAGTCGTTGACCTAAGCTTTATCTGATCTTTTTTCCTAATCAATCTCTTTGAAGTATTACTAACCATCAACTTGTCACAATTTCAGTAAAAAGAAACGTCGTCTGGCTGATCGGCTTTTAACCAAGGCTGTTCGCCAAATAATTCCCGAATCGGAGTCCTACATGGAACTATTGGAAGTCGAGAAAAAGCTGGATCTCGTCCTAATGCGGAAACGATTAACCTTGCAGGAATCTTTAAAGCAGCCTCTCAAGGTGAAATTATATTTTGCAATATGCTTTTTTAATTTTTTTGCGTCTTACGTGCATATGCGTAAGTGTACACCAAAACGTGCATCTTGTGCTTATTTTCAGACTAAGCGAATTCTCCGTGTGATGCTGAGCAGCACTTTTAAGCCAGGTACAATCGATTCCATTGGTCCTGATGGTCAGCCCGCCAACGACGGAAGTCCTCCAGGCTGGGAATTGAAAGTTGAGGGGCAACTACTAGAAAAGGTGTGTTCAATCTTATTGCGTTGAGGTTTAAGTCATCTAACAATATTGCTGAGCAGTTGCTTTATCACATTATCACAAATATACCCATCGAAATGCGTTGTAGCACTACTCGTTTGTCATCGGCTTACTTTTTATTTGATTTAACTTATTATAATCTATCCGATCAAATAAAGACGGCTTCCTTGCAAATCCCATCGCGCTATTGTTCTTATAATTTACTGGTATCGTGGGGTTATTAACAACGGTAACTTATCTAATCAGGCTTCCAAGTAGCATCCTCGAATTTTACTCCTTGTTTCCAGCGTTGTCTAAATAAATGTCATCGTTTTCATACTCTTTTGACTCCAAGATACAGAAGATTTGGTTTTGCGAGTACTGATTATGATGAAAGGCATCTAGTCTCCCTGATACCTAATTAATTTTTTCCCCAATTACTTATCTCAGACATAATTGACGTCTTTTCTTGTACAGCCTCCCGGTCAGCCAAATGGTGCTCCCACAATTGACCTTAAATATCGTCGCAAGTTCTCCACATTTTTCAAGTCTCTGGTCATTGAGCTTGACCACGAGTTGTATGGACCAGACAACCACTTGGTTGAGTGGCATCGTACCTCATCAACTGCAGAGACGGATGGATTCCAGGTTTGTTTTAATGTCCTTGATTATCGACTTGGTCGAATGCAGGTCATATACTTCTCTGGAAGAGATATATAGTGACTATCAATTTATCGGGTGTGGAAATACTTAGGGCCTAATGTTGGTGTTGACCCCGTCATCAGTCCCCAGTTTTCTACATAAGTCTTCAGCAACCGAGCTCTGGGAATTTTCGTTGTTTTTTTCTTAATTTTTATTAAAAGGTGAAACGCTCTGGAGATAGCAATGTTCGCTGCACAATTCTCTTGATGCTGGACTATCAACCTCCTCAGTACAAACTTGATCCTCGTTTTGCTCGGATTCTCGGGCTCCACACAGGCACACGGTCGCAGATCTTCTATGCATTGTGGAATTACATCAAGGTCCATAGGTAATTTAATTACATCGACTAATTTTTTGTAGGTAGGCTGTCATTTATTGGGTTTCATTTTGCCCTTACAGACTTCAAGATTCGCACGAGAAAGATTTCATTAACTGCGATGCCTATTTGGAGCAGGTGTTCGGGTGTCAACGAATGCGTTTCGCGGAGATTCCTAGCCGAATAATCCAACTGCAACAGGCTCCTGATCCCATCGTCATCAATCACGTCATCGTAAACGATCCTGAAGACCCTAACAAAACTCTCTGCTATGATATTGAAGTCGAAGTAGTAAGTATGATCTGTTATGGATTACCTCCATCAAACCAATGTTTGAACTACCTGATTGTGGTTGAATGTCGACGTAGGATCCAGTTCCTTAACCTGTTTAATCTGCGTTTTTGAGCAATACTCCCTAAGTACTGACAACTCAAATCTCCATGAAATTCCTCATGTGTGACAACGGGACTGATCTAAGTGGGACCTACATCGAGTCCCAATCTGTCATTTAATAAATTGTCTTTAGGTGTCCTGAGAACGTTGCCTGATATTGTCTACCGTTTATGAAACTCGGGGCAAATGTTTGCAAACGCAATTTGGACCATTTCTAATCTGTCATGGTGTTTGAACATACGTTAGCAGGGATGACGGACGTGAATTAACATGGTTTACTACAGCATGCTCGGGATTTTTTATGTTTGATCCAAGTCGAGGCTCGTCATTTCCTGTGTAAATCATGTTTCCCTCAAGCCTGACGTGCCAATTACTCGTCCGTAGGTGGGAATTTTTTGTCTACTGGTGATGCTACTAAACGCCTACTCCAATCTCTGATTTAGAACCAACTATATTGCTCTTGGTTCTGTTTCGGTTCCCATCTTGGGGTCGTGGTACTGCGAACGCGATTCTCTAAACGTGAATAACATCGGCACTGCAATAGGTTTGAAGCCTGGGGTTTTCTTTTAAACTGCTTTCAGTTAGTCTGTGGTTTTATTTGAAGATCCAGCACTAACTGTCGACTCAAAATGATTACGTTGTTGATTCGTGCACATGTCGTCGTTCTGTCTAAGTATAAACTGACGGAAGTCTGCACGGTGCATTTTTAACCCAATTGGTATACATTTCATGATTAGGCGGATCATGTCCCAGGTAGAATGAACTTCGCTCCGGTTTCGATCCAAATTCGCGTCTGGTTTACCCTTTTGAAGTTCGCCTTAAGTTCATTTTGTGTTTGTAGGATGACATCTACAAGTCTATGGTGCAAAACTATCTTCAAAACACGCAATCGAACCAGGAATTGGCTGCCATTGACAACAAGGTATGACTTCTGCTGCGATATAGATTTTCTCAAGGGATAAGGTTAGCTTGCACCAGTGACCTAGAAAACCCCCTCGGAGTAGGTGCGTAGTCTAAATCCCTATTACTTCGAAGTTAGCGTAAACTACTCCCAAGTTTATTTGATTTGAGAATTCCTTTTAATTTAGTTCTTGATGCGCACATTCAACTCGGGAACCTGTTGTGCGCCTTTTTGTTCTAAATCTAGCACTGTGGCGCTATCTCACGATGTTGGCGACTATTAACACCTTCGTGAACCTTGAAATACGGCTAGTTCAAATCGCTGCAGTTTGGTGGCCGCGTAATTCACACACTAAAAGCTCCACTCAACCATCAGTGCGTTATTGTCGTGACTTTGTGCTCAAATACAGAATACGAAAAAGTGTTGGGTCACGGTAACTCGTAATGACTTGTGTGTGTCTACTTCGGTCGGTACTCAGTTTATTTGAGGTCAAATGAAATTGTCACATGGTTTGCTCCACTCATCACTTGTTCAATCTTGTTATTCACGTCATATATTAGCGATTGTACGTGCAAACCTCTGTACGCTCCATGTCCATTGATTTCCAACACTTGATTGAAGTGCTCTTTTTTGCCACTCACCAGATTTTTGAGTTGGTGGAGCAGATTAATCAGATGAAGGTGCACCGCGAATTCTATCTGGAATTCAGCCAGGATCCGCACACCTTCATAACTCGTTGGCTAGCTAGTCAGTCTCATGACCTTCAGCAAATGACCGATGCGACACCTGGCCATCCGGAGCAGGAGAGACATGCTGACTTCTACGACGCTTCCTGGGTTCACGAGGCCGTCAAGCGGTACCTCTACAACAGGGTATGCTCCTACATTGTGGTCTTACTTGGATGTGCATTTTAGCGATCCAAGCAGTTTGCGTCCCGTGTATCCAACTGGCTTGTTCATTGCTTCTGTAACCTAAGCTTCAAGTGTACATCTCTTATTTGACAGTTTCCTGAGCCCAGTCCTATTTGGGGCTTCTTGGTACGGTCTCAAATTAGATTGAAGTCACTAACATCGTGCTTTTAACAGCCCCTAGGTACACATGCCAACTAGAAGCAATGCTAGATGGCTAGGACTAAAGCTTAACGTATTTCTCACAAATAAGCCTTCAGTAAACCTGAATTGGATTGTCCTAGTGACGCAGGTTTTTTGCTGTTAATTCGCATCGCCTCTATTGTTTACGAGTGAACAATAAATTGATATGCATACATTTCCTGTTACAATGCGAGGTTATCCTGCTGCTAAGCTCTTATTTTGTTTATCAGGACATTTCTCAGCGCCTAAAAAATTCGAAAGAACTCTCCAATGTTTTTCTCGAGGACTTTATGCAACCAGGCTAGACATATTACACAAATTCCACACACTTTGTCTAATTCCCTTACGGAAGCATTGTGCCCTCAAAAAGCACCAACAATCTACCGGACTACAGTTATTTTGGCATAATCGTTATCAATCTGTTGGTCATTTGGTACATTTGGAGTGCGCGCTCAGATTTCCTTTATTTTGGATGTGTGCTGATAACGTGTACGTTTGACCCCCGTCTTCCGATGGCCTTTATGTTTCTGCTGGCGACACATTATCTTGGAGACTTCCTTCGGCAGTTTAACGGCACCGCGAACTGGAAGTGCAGTGGTGTATGTCTTGGCACACCGTAAACGTTCAAACGCTAACACAGTTGTTGGTGGTGTAGGTGCAATCCACGAACGCTTGCTAAAACGCCTTTTTGACATCAAGTAGCTTGTTAACCGCGTATTTCCTCCCTCCAGACAGGGTGGCGTTGTTTTGCCTCCGAATTTGTACCATAAACCCAATTTTATTGAAAAAGACAGCTTCTGCTGCTCTAGATATTCTTCCTCGCTGTAATAAACACGGGTTTATCGTCACGCTCTCACACTTCCTTGGCGCCTCTTTCTATCGCATTGCACTTCCCCTGTCTCAATTCATTTATTCTCCTAGATTAGCTGTTTTAACCAAGGCTGTCTGTAATGTTGAAATGTCTGACACCATAATTGATTATCTGTGTCCCTTAGACCTACTGTAAAATTACCACAACTTGATACTGGCTCGTGTACAGTGGCTGCCAATGTAGCGTGTCCTTTTTGTATGGGAAAGCATAACATTTCTTGACAAATTAACGCGATGGTTGGCACTGCTTAGACCCACCAGCAGTACATCTCATAGACACATTTTAGCCAACCGGAGACCGTGTGAGACGCCTGTATGTTAATATACTGGGTGTGAATTGCTAGTGCCGGTGAGGTATGGTCTAAGAGAAGGGCATTCCAGTGTCGACTTATCCGCACGTTGTTTTCCACCAGTTTGTGCAGCCCTAATTTTCGTCGATGATTGCGGGTGGAATTGGCTGAAGTGTGTGTTTTGGTTGGTGACACCTCACGCGTAGAAGTCAGGTCATGGGATTAAGTGTGCACGCCCGCCCAATTTGAATTGCTTGGTCGCTCACTGATAGCCTATTCATGTTATTGTAATGTCTAAGCGCTATTGGCGATCGTGTTGTGCCATTAATCACGCTTCAGTAAAAATGCCTCTTTGTTCTTTCAGGTTGTTCAGCGTCGGCAAGAGCTTGAGCATGCCCTCAATCTTGGTAATCAGTGAAGATGCCTCTTATTCGTCGACAGCATTTTAAATGGTTTATCTAAATCACAGTTCATCCTTCAGCCAGTATCCTTTATGTGTAAATTTTCAAATTGCATTATTTGGGAGTTTCCATACGTTCTGTGTTGCCCAATTTTGTGCATGCAATCAAAGCAATTGTTGTGTTCAGAGGCCAAAACTTTGGAAGCAAGGCATATCAAATCACTGACTCAAAGTTCCTCACTTCTATGTCCGAAGTCGAAGCTGGAGGCCTCGCTTCAAGGGAATTATCTCTGGTGCAAGTCGTTAGTTGCAGTGTCGACAAAAAGATGATGGCGGTGTTTCACGATTTGAGACGACCGCTGCTGGTCGGTAGTGGCTATCATTAGAATGGGCGGAGTGCCAGGGTCGTACAACACGCCGGTCTTAGCTTTAGGCGTAGAAGGTTCATGGGGCCACTTTCACCTGAGTGCCGTCAGGTCAGAATGGGCTGTGTTGAAGTCACATGGAGGTAACTATACGCTTGGGGCTAGGTGGTAAACATGCCGGCAGAGATTAATCAATGACAAGCTGTGCGAGCGCACCACAAGCAGATTCTGTCCATCGGAGTGTGGAACCACTTCCAGCCTGTAGGTCGAGGGGCGCATCGAAAAGGAGTTATCGGCGAAACACTATTGCAACCGGGAGCATCGCTTACTTCCGTTATTGAAAGTATTTTAGAGCAAAAGCATAGAAAGAGCATCTCCAGTGCTTGTAATGCAAAAGACCTGAGTGCATTGGTCTTGCGTCACTTTACCTAGTCACGATTCCCGTTTTACAGGTTCACAAATAAGACTTGGTTGCGAAAAAAGAATCAGTCAACTTGAGTACGACACTAAGGCGCACCGAGAGGTCTACGCAAAAGGTGTCAAATAAACCAAATCTAGACACATCAACGTCAGTAAGGCAAGAAATATTTGAGTTGAGTCCTCCAGCTGGTGTGCGCGATGACAATTCGAAGCTCAGCAACAGCACTACAAATCATCCAGCGGCGACAGAGAAGGTCGACCAATGTTTAAGAGTTTTGCACGAGTTAACTTTTTGCGTGTGATTTCAGGTTCCATCCCACTAGGTATGCCAGAGCAGAAGCCTATCCTCGGTCGCTGGTTTTTTGACTGCCTGCAATGTTGGTTGCCAGTGGGCACTCATCCAAGTGGTCACGACTGGAAGCAATGACGTTCGGCAAAACACCTATGCGTGCCTGAACATTTTTAGTTTATATTTACACTTTTGATAATCTACCCAGGGCGTGAAAAGGGCGGATCAGACTTAATTT